AAGTCTGAGAAGAGTTCCCCATTGTCGGTCACCTCACCGAGGGCCTCGCGACCCATGGTGAGTTCTCCTCCTGTATTGTCTCCTCCCAGCTTCGCATTCATATCACCCATCAGGATTCTGATATCGCCATTTGGGACGTTGTCCATTACTGCCTCCTTCTTCTCTTGTTCTGAGACGTTTGTAGGCGCATAGCATTGAATGATTGTAACTGCCTTCCTTCCTTTTGAGTTGAACCTGGCTGTCATTATACTGGAGGAGATTGGTTCCCTCTGCATCAGAGCTTTGGCTGCTGTTGGTGACATCATGATGGCTACTCCCTCGGTGTGCTCGTGATTGTCCTCTGGGTGACCGGAGTAGATTATTGTCTCTCCAGTTGGTAGTTGGCTCCTTCCACATCCGTTCCATCTGCTCTCACAGATTCCCAACACTTCTATTTTATATCTCCTCTTTTCTGCGGCTACCTGGGCAGCCTTTCTAGTTTCGTACATTGTACGAATATTCCACGTCTCCATCCTTATTTTTGCTTTCATCGAAAGAAGGCAGATCGGCTGACTGGCTTCCCGAAGGCTTTTACCAGCCTGAGTCATTTCACTTCCCCGATTCCAGCGAAAAATAAGGTTATTGTTTATATTTTTAGAATATTTGATATATTTGTGCTTTGAAGTTTTTGTAGCGATTTGGTTAAGTTTTGGGGTGGAGTTGGTAGCACCATGCCCCAACCCTCCCTCTTTATCCGGGCTTGGGACCGGCTAGAAAACTAGTGAGCTAGTAATTTAGGCGTGGTTCCCATTGCCATTATTTGCCCATTTCTAAAGCTGATGGAAAAACTAGTACTTCTTAAACTCGAACCCTCCTTTAACACTTCTGAGGACCCCAAACAATTTGCATATATACAGGGTAGAAGCACTTTAGTTGCTGCAGCCGTCTTACACAACAGTATCGTCTCATCACTAGATAAAGGTGCCAAATACGTTGGTTCCACGTTTCCCGACCTCACTTCGGCTTTTGACGCTGTACCTAGATGTCTCTTGCTAAATAAGCTCTCGATGACACAAACTGAGTCCTGGATCACAAACTGGCTGCATTCCTATATCTCAAACAGAATGCAGTACACTTTATACAAAGGTAAATCCTCCACTGCTGTGCTCACTGAAGCTGGTGTCCCCCAAGGTGCTGTACTCTCGCCGCTTTTCTTTTCTTTCTTTCTGCATGACTTACCATCTTCAAATGACATTAATTTTGTCAAATATGCTGACGATCTGACTGTATCTCCAAAGTGACTGCTCCAAACTAAATGGCTTTTTATTAAAAATCAACCAGTGGTCCAAGATAAACGGTCTTACCTTAAACCCCTTCAAATGCCAAACAGTCAATTTCACCTTTAGGCATAAATCCGACCTAAACAAACTGGTTGGCTCTCACGAGGTGTGCAATATAGATGGCACTGAAATAGAAACCAAGTCGGAAATTAAATACCTAGGCGTCATTCTATCTGCTGATTTTTCCTGGTCGTCTCATATCTTTATGATTTCTAAGAAAAATATTCCGTCTTACCTTCTACATCAAGAAGTTAAGACATTCTGGAATAACCCAACTCTTACTCTCAGGATTCGTTAACTCTTGCATCCTGCCTATTATTCTCTATTGTCCCCCCTTAGTTTTTCCAGGGCTACTGAAGCAGGGCTATATCTTATTGCTTAGGGTGTTAAAGGTTGTCAACAGGGTAAGCAATGTGCCACTTAACCAGCTGGTTAATATTCTGGTTGACAGGCACATGGCCTCATGTGAAAAATAGGCTAAATCCATTCTATCTAACTCACACCACCCTCTTCATTCACAACTCTCCCTTTGTATCTCATCAGGCAGGAGCAGAAGCCTATATACAAAACTATATGCTCGCACTAGCAAGTCCAAAAACTCAACCATACCCTACTTAGCTCGTGTTCTGTGCGATGGAGAAAGCATAAGGCGTGAAACATATAACTTATTAAATAGTCAGTAGAACAATTTGATCTCGTCTTTCTAACTGATATCATTTATAGGTACAACCTTTTTCTTTCTTTCTTTTCCTTTTCTCTCTCTCTCTTTGTTTTCTTGTTGTCTTGTTTTGTTTCTATCTTCCTTATAAACTCTACTTAAAACATTCTTCTTAGTTCTTTCACAATCTGTATATCTCGACCTTTTTGTTACCTCTTACGCCTGTAAATATGCTAGTATCTACTTTTCTAAAACCTTCAAACATTCTGTTCACTTTTGGCTTTGCTACTGATATGCTAAAATGTTGTTGTCGAAATTAACTGAGACTACCCATATTCTATGTAGAATTTTATTTATTGTTAATGTACAAACTGGATGCGATACTGTGGTGAAAAGCTGAGAATTCCATTCTGTATCACAAGTACTGTTTCGGAATAAAGCAAATTATTATTATTATTATTAAAATCAGAATGCTGGCCTCTTAACTATCTTCTTCCTTAACTCTACTTTCTCCTGCATCTTTTTGAATAGTCGTTAATATTATCCTGCTTTATACACGTTTTTCTGTCCTCTGTTCAAAGGATTTATTGCTAATTCCAAACACAAAACGAGTTTTCACCAGAGGAGTGAATCTTTCTAAATCGGATGGTTTCCCAGTCTGAAGTTGGTGTAACGGAATTCCAAATAAAAAACCCAATCAATGAAAGCTGAGTGCTCGAACCAAAGAGACACTTTTCCACTTGTCATAGTAGTGCATCCTAGACTATATGCTTATATGTAAGTCGTTATGACGCTATTAAATTTAAGTTTCTTTTCGAACTCTTAACTTCTATTGATTTCTTTGTCAAAGAAAACACTACAGCATTGTCTTTTGTAGCGAGAATGTTTTTCTTTTGATTTCTAGCAGTGATAATCTTATCCAACAGGGGAATACGTCTTCTGTCTATCATTTCATATTATTACCTTTGGTCGGTAATGATTTTCCGTTCAGTAGGAAGAAGTTTAATGGCTACTCTAAGGTGCAACCATTTTTGGTGATTCGAAGCTCAATTAACTTGAATCTAATCTACGTGTTTATTCCATCCACTATGTTGTTGTCGTCGAGTGGAAGAATAATGCAGAGACGACTAAATTAGTAACGCTGCGTATTAAATATTTATTAGATGGTGTTTCGGTACAGTCAAATCATCTGAAAGTGAGTATATCTCGCTATTGTATTCAGTCACTCGTTCATTCTTGTCCTAATTATCCGGAACAGATTTTCCGTCTTCCAGGATATGAACCAAACATACACACATACACACAGTTATTCTTTGGATGCCAATGACACTATCCACCTGACAAAAAATCCATTAGGCCAATAAGCAACAACTCAACATTCATGTTTACTATACTCTAAGTAACATTAATATTAGTATTATTCCCTTGGGTTCCTAGTGGAACATAGGGCTTCAACTGCACGCATCCACTTGCTTCTGTCTTCTGCTATACTTTTCACTTGCATCCATGTTAGTCCATAGTGTTTCAACTCTTCTTCACACGATCTCCTCCATGTCACCCTTCGACGTCCCACTCGCCGCTTCCCTTTCGGGTTCCACTCGAGCACTGACCTGACGCGCGATGTCACCCAACGGCCTCCTCAGCGAGTGTCCAATCCATCTCCACTTTCTCCTGCATATTTGTTGAGCTATTGGTTCTTGTTTTGTTTGTTCCCACAGTTTATTGTTGGTGATTCTTTCCGGCCATCTGATCTTCAGTATAGAGCGAAGACAGCTGTTGTTGATAAAGGTCTGCAACAGGCTGTTGGAAATATTCTTTGTGACCCGCCAAGTTTCTGATCCGTATAGAAGAACTGACTGACTTGACGTTTGCATTGAAAATCCGAATCACTTTGTTGTTGATGCAGGCTGACTG